GAAATGTTCATAAACTTTATAGAAAATTTTACAGTTAAATACTCCTATAACTTTTATTTTATCAATGTATATGTGGTTATCCTTATGAACTTCCATTTCATTATTTATTTCATATAACCAAATAGTTTTGTCAATTTATACCAACAATCACAGGGAAGTAGTACTGTTATCTTTTGCTGCTTATAATCAATAATGAATTGATTCACGGTTGTTTGTTGGCTATTTACTTCATGTTGCTGCAATATTGTGATGAAATCAGATATGGATCTTGGCAATGTTTTAGGGAAAATGAACAATACAAGAACCCTGCGAATGATAGTGGTTGGAGACGTCCACCGATTGAGGAGTTCAAACTTCTAACTGCATATGCACTGGATCATGCCTAACAATTTTGTTGTTTTAGCTTCTGTATTTTTTTTAACATCATATTATTTTTATCTCATTTTGTGTTTGAAATTTGTTTTATAGGTGCTGGCAAAACTGACCACTTATTATGCTAGGATACACTCTAGGCAATGTGCAGATAAAGCCGAACTGGCTGAATATGTTGGTTTGACATGCTGTGTGGCCTCTTGCCAATTTAGGTACCACCCTAGATTTTAAAATGAATTTCAAAGTAAATAATTCAAGTTCAGTTATAGCAAAGAGGCAAATATTAGTCTTGTGGTCACCTATGGCAGTATTGGCCTCATTAAATAGGTGACTTAAAAAGCTTTGAATGATCCATTACATGATTTGTTTTGCCTAAATATGCTCTTGATACATAATGTGAATGAATAACAATTGTCTCACTCTTTATAAAGTAATTCCTGAAGTCCATAACATGTGCTGGTTGTGGGGTAATTGACATGCACCATGCTTGATGGTTACCTTAAAATGTAGTAATCAAGTAGTTGCACTGGTTCCTATCACTTTCAGTAGGGTAACTTACAACTCTCATTCAGAAAATATCTAAAATTTTGGGTTTAGGGTGGAATGTACTATGTTATCCAATCCTCTAAACTTATATAGGCACACTTATCAATGTTGTAATGTACTGGGCTATGTCATTTTTAAAGATAACTGCAAAACTGTACCATCTTATATCATCTCAATATTTTTATCATTTTAAAAGTATATAAACATACTTATTAGAGGTAATACGATTAGGAGTCATATTGGCCATATAATTAGCTTGCAGCTTTTGTGCCCAAAATGTTTACAGTTATTATTCAATAGTGGAATATTTAATCCAAAATGCTTACAGTTATTTTATGCCAGCATTTTTATAGGCATGGTATGAGTACCCAACGGTCTGAACAGATTACAAGGAGAACTGGTTCTCTTTATCGCTTTATATACAGTAGGATACATCATGTGGTGATAAAATTGCATCAATGAGACAACTATCTTGTTAGAAGGAGGATAAAAATGATTTTACGTGATCTTAACATTTTATGGACATCAAAGACCAATATGAAAGTTCTCCAGATTGATTGACATTTAGGAGCAGGACCTTTGACATTTAAAACTTATGACTCATTAATGGTTAATCTCCATCATCAATGATGTTGGCCCTCACCTGATGAAAATTGAGGGCACCAAGGTCAGAATGCTTTCCTTCAGCTGCTGGATTAGTTTCCTGTTATTCTGATTGCAATACTGAACTGAATGTTAGCCCACGTAGTTGCCACTTCATGGCATTATAGCGCCTCACTGGTTGACAGCTGACAAAGCTCCACAAGAGGATTTTTTTTACTCCCTAGGTTGGTGACATTAATTTGATTGAAATAATGTGCTATTGAGGAAAGAAAAAAGGGGCCCTTCAATGTTGCCGTAATTATATTTTTATTAGTGCAGAATAAGGACATGATTGGTATTGGCAAGTCAAGGTTAATCTGCAAATAAATTTTCAATTGCTATAAAACTTTTGATCACTTTTGGTTGCTGTTTACTGTATCCAATGATTAACATGTCATGCATTCGGAATCATGAGTATGTTTGGAGAGATACTGGTTACTCGTAGGGTATGTTTCCTTGCTAGCAACTCATGTGGCTGGTGTTCGTGGTAAATTTTAGCTCATGTTGGAAACTGAAGGAAGAATTCCTCCCTCTTCTTAGATTGCTGGAAGCAGTTCTGAATGTTATTCTAACTAGAATTTAGTAATTAATAATTACATTTCTCATACCCTATAATTTTTCAGAATTTAATCTGCAATATTTGTTTGCATTGAAAAATGTTCAGTGGCCTCTTTCTTAAAATTGGCAATCACTATAGTGTATATATTTTTTAAATGTCCTGGTCTGTTAATTTATTAATTTGTTTTCAGAAAGAAATTATCACGACTCTATAAGTGCTAATGGATCCCTTGCTCCTAAGGACTGTATTGACAAGAATTTAATAAAAGGGAACTTGTGGTGAGTAAAATCACAAGCACTTGTGAGGTTGATTTGTTCTGTTTTATAGAGTAATATAACTTCTTTGCAGCTTTAATTGAGGGTATGAATTTTAGGATTTCAGTTTGTACCTATTAGATTTTTATCCTGTTTACATTCTGGTGATGTGATATCTTAGTTGTTCAGAAATAACATATGAATTTACTCCCGTTTGTTAGTTAGTTGAGAACACATCAGATACTTACTGGGTTGTTTGATGAACAAAGCCTTTAAAGTAGTTATTGGTAGTGATGGCATAACAAAATGCGTTTCTTCAGGGTTCTCTATATTTTTCTGCAATTATAAGCTACTTTTAAACCTGCATTGACTGCAATTACTTCTTTCTCTATGGGCATTGCATTTTATTGCTGATTTAACATTTATTTCACTTCCAGGTTAAAAGCTTTGCTCGCCATCCCAAAGGTCCCCTACCATGAAATCTCTTTTGCGTGTTTACATGGACCCTACTAAATCAGTAAGTCCAAGCAAAATAGGCATCTTTATATCATAAAGCTTCTCCCTTTGATGTCACATTATGCTTGGCCAATATTTCGTCATTCAGCTTTGAGCAGGCTCAGTTTGTGGAGTCTAAACTGCTTACTGTTAAGAGGGTGCACCTGTACTGTGGCATAGAAAAATTTGATGTTAATCTCTCTGACATTCATGATTCTAAGTTTACTTTTGGACCTTTGGTTGCATTTATGGTTTTTAAGGGCCTAGGATTTGCTATATGTGGAATATTTCAGAGCAAGCTATATCAAGGGCGTAATTAATGTGATGGGAGAATTAATGCTTTAACTTGCTCTCATTTGTCTACCAGCAAGAAGTGGAAGGGAAGATGATGCTGGAAGGGGAAATTCCAAACAGAAATAAACTTATATTTCACTGGTAGAAAGGATGGATAGTGAGGGATTTTGACAGAATTATCTTTTCCTTCAAAATCATGCTGTGAAGAATATATTTATCTTGGAAAAGAATTGCGACGATTGGCATTTCTTCAAGGGTTCGACTCCCTTCTATCACTTTCCAATACATTCATCATTCCTATGTAAGGTTCTAGGATAAATGACTGGGGTCCCACAAATGGGAATGGTAATGATGAGTGAATTAGAAAGTAAAGCATAAAAAGATAATGGGGGGGGGATTTCAACCTTCCTTACAAATCCCTGAAAACCCTTGTGTGAAATGTCAACTTGTTTGCTTCATTGATGTCCCTCAACCAATTACAAGGACAGAGGACAAGTTCCGTTTCCTTATCTTCAATCCTTCCTCATTTCCTTTCTTCCTACCGAATGGAGTATTACATATCCTTTCCCCAAGGTCAGCACCATTACTCAAGTCTTCTTTTTTTTTTTTTTTTTTTTTGCTATTGTATTGTAATGGAATGGCAGGTGTATGAAAAGGAATTGCCGCTCAAGGACTTGGTGTGATAGAAGGGTTACTAGGTAATGACAGAAGGTTAGGCGAGGTTTGTTCAAAGAGTGTATAGAATACTCATGGCTCAGAGTGGAAGCGTCAAAACTGATGATGTTGAGGATGGTGCTGATTTCTTCAGACATTAGTAATAGTAAACTTCTCAGTGTATTAGTTGTTTAAGGCAAAAATAGAGATTTTTGATATATTGTTATGCTTCTTTCTTTCTTGCTTTCCTTATCCTCGAGTCGCATTCAAAGGAAGAAAGGATTAACCCCAGGATTTGAACATTTTAACTGCCTTTTGGGTTCAAATCCTTGGGGTTAATACTAATCCTATTTTTTTTTATATTAAAAAAGCCAAGAGGCTGGTGGCAATTATTTCTTAGTATACTAATTCTATGTGGAGTTTTGGGCCCACCGCTCACAAGTAATGGTTGTGGTTATGCAAATTGTTGAGTTCCTGAATCCGAGATTTAGTCATAGTTCACCCATTTCTGAGCAAAAATAATTTAATGTTTTTTGTAAAGGTCGCTGGGAAATGGAAAAATGAATTAGACCAAAAGAGAACAAGATGGGTAATGTTCAAAACCTTTTAACTTAAGAAATTTATACAATTAATAGACCAGCTTGGAAGCATAAGTTCGTGTCCAAGAGATTTCTTGGAGAAACTGATGCCCTTTGTTTGTACTTACGGGTGGAGGAATAAATTTGCTTTTCTTTGTGTAGCTTATTGCTTGCTTGAGGAGCAAGAGATTGATGAGCCTCAGGTTTGACACTTTCATTCTTAATTTTATCTTTTCTTGCCAATGGCATTACCGTGTAGCAGCAATGCAGCTTCACTTCAAACCAATGTAACTCATCTTGGCCTTCGCTGTCAACCTGTGCATTAGCATTCTTCCTTTGTTTCGTCTGAGTACTGTCGTGTATTTAAGCCGACATTCTTCAGTAATTGTTTTACAGAACTAGATCTGTTTCCAAGTTCTCATATACTTTGATCGCAAATAGCCTTAGATAATTTGAAACACGATATAATGACACGAAATGAAAATAATACAAAAATAATACGATTTAAAATTAAAAAAAATCATAAATAAGCTTAATAAAATCAAAAAATTATATTTTTTATTTTCATGTCGACATAAATTATAATACGATTTTTATATAAAACACGATACGAATATAATATTTTACATAATACGGTAACATAAATTGTCATGTCTAATCCTAAATTCCTGAATAAAATTCTTTTGTAATTTTGTTTTCCATCCACACAAAAAAAAAAAAAAAAAACTTGTATAACTCATGCATGGGAAGCCTATTGAGCCTGTCATCTTAGCAACTAGACAACTCAAAAACTCGAAATTTAGTCTATTCAGTTAATACAATCACTTTTAAAAGTGACAGTATTAAGAAGGTTTGATATTCAAATTTTATTATTTATAATTTTTTTTATTTTTTTAGACTATGGCTTTTTTAATTAAAAAAAGAGAGATTATGTCCCATCACGTACTCTTCATTCCACACCAAAGAGTTTTGATATCTTGTCTGGATCGAGTGTTCGGAAATCCAATGTAGAGAAAGACCTGCGGTGTTGAGGATTGCCAAGGTTGTTTTTCATGATAGAACCCTGTAAAAGAGTGGAATTCTGAATGTTCTGAGTAGCATTGGGATGAGCCTCGGTTCTTGGTGCTATTTTTGAATTGGAACGTAGAATAGGAGAAAGCGATGCAGCACGTAGGTCTTTGTCATGCTTGATTGTCTTCAGACTAGAAGAAGTACCGCTGCGTCCACTATTACATGTTTCATGTCCTTTCTGCTTCTCCCGGTCAGATAAACGAAAGATATTAATCCATAACAGAACCCTTCTAATTGTAAATTACATTATCAGATGATGCGTCATTTATATATCTGATGCGTTGTGCATTTGTAGCTAAATCAGTAATCGAGATGAGGTTTCACACCGCTTTCAGGTCTCATATAAATGAATTTGAGGCAGTGAAGAGCTGTGACCACAAATCAGTTGTTCTTTCACTCTAGATTTCATAAAAGTTTGCAGTAAAGCACATGGCACCTTTGATTTATTTATATATTTATTTTTTTTAAGAATTTCCTCCCCAAAACTGGACAAGCTAGTTTGTATTTTGAGTCAAAATACCAAGTTGATAGAAATCTTTGATGCAAACATCAAGTAGCAGCTAGAATGAAACTACATAATCACATATGCACGATTTCCATATTAATTCAACATTTGCAGAAAACTTTCCATTGGCTAATGAAATAGTATCGAATAATTGTTGGATTAAATCCAAATTGAAATGCGATTTTAAGGAGAACGATGAAATTAAAGAGTTTTACCTCCCTGGAAGTATCGGTATCATCTTTCTTTTGTTCTGTCATTAGGTCCTTTGTCCCATGATATTCATGTTTCCTTCTGGAGGATTGCTTTGTTTTCGAAGTTCTGCGCCTCCAGTATGAAAAGCCAGAATTAGTTAATTGCATTGATAATTCTCTGAATTTAAAAGATTTCTTTTGCTTTTGGTTACTACATTTCTGTTACGAGCTTTTCTTCTGATAACTACAGAAAATTATAGATTATTTGTGCATAACAAAAGAACTGCCAACAAAAAGAAAATTTCATAGTTAAAAACTAGTAACATACGTCTTTCGATCTTTGGTTTCATATGGTTCATCCGCCTCTTTGTATATTACTGGTTGACCTGAAAGTTCACATGCCAATGGACTTGAAGAAAAGAACTGCAAACAAAAAAGCCAAGATAAACATACAGAAATTACAGCAACAAAATTTTGCAGTTTTTTTTTTTTTTTTTTAACTTAATGCAGGAAAGTGCTGCTGTTTTAACTTACTTCACTTTGAAGGGCAGAAGCTGCAGTGACACGATATGATGGGTCCAGAGCTAGAAGCATTGTCAAGAGACGAAATGAAGAATCGGGGAAGTCTCCAAATGCTTCTTGATATCCAGGCTTGTAATGCTGTGGAGGCCGGAAGCTTGCTGGTAGCTTCAACTTTTTCCAATATTCCTCTGAGGGTGAGCCACAAAGCTTAAAGATTCGATGAAGCTGCTCAACCTGAATGCACAAGAAGCTTAATAGACTGAATAATCTGACAACAATAAGATCATCACATTTTTACCTCTGTCCTTCCAGGCATAATTGGCCTTCCAGCAAACATCTCAGCTAACAGGCAACCCGCACTCCAGAGATCAATCCCAACACCATAATCTGTGGAACCTAATAGTAGTTCTGGAGCTCTATACCAAAGTGTTACAACCCGGCTCGTAACGGGGCGTTTTGGTTTAGGTCTGAAAGAATTGGCAAGGCCAAAATCTGCAATTTTCAGCACCCCATTCCTGTCTATCAACAGGTTGGAACCTTTAATGTCTCGATGCAAGATTCCTCTTTCATGGCAGTGCTGGAGACCTGAAAGCAGCTGTTGCATGTAACACTTGATCTGCATGACAAACACAAATATTATAAACAGCAACAAAATTTTGCTTATAGATCAATTAAATCTGATTGATATATGCTTATAGATCATTTTTGACATATATTTCTCCTATTTTTTCTTTGATCTTTTGTTGCAATATTTTCTGCTTTACTCAGTTTCAGCCATTCCAAACTCTCTTGAAAATAAAAATTTGACATTTATCAGATGAAATTTGGAGCTGCAAAATGCAGTTAGAGAGAAGCCAACCTGGGGTTCAGTAAGCTTCTCGCCTGGACGAGATATAACTTTGGTTAAGTCTGACTGCATGAAATCGAAAACAAGATAAAGACTGTACTGCATCCTTGAAGTGGCCAGTCCTTCAAGGCTGATTATATTTGGATGATTTAGCTTCTGCAGTATCGTAATCTCTCTTGCCATAAATTTAACACTCTTAGGCTCTGAAGTGTTAAAACGGACCTTCTTCAAAGCAACAATCTTTCCAGTGCATCTGTCTCGAGCTTTGTACACATTGCTATAGGTTCCTTGCCCCACCTGCAAAAATGATTGAATAGGTGTCCATTTATACTTCCAGTTTCATGAAATTTGTCTGACCAGGTTGCCCGGAAAACACTAATATATTCTTAGGATATAATACAAGATGAATTTGTGTGGTTTTTGTTCATTCATGTCCATTTATTAAGCTTAACAGTTGATTATGAACAAAATTTATTAATTAAACAAACATATCACCAACATAGTAAAGTTTATTTATTTTTGGTTGATTTGTGAAAATTAATAGAGTATTCGACTAAGAATTCATGAACAAATTCAGTTTCTATTCATTTATGTTTATTTATTAAGCTCAACAAACAATCATAAACAACATTTCATGACTCATTAATTAAACAAATAAATCATGAATATAACAAAATTTATTCATTTTTACTCTATTATACTTACCTTGTCAAGCTTATCATAGGAATCAGCACTCTTTGGAACCAAACCAACCAAAACCTCTGTAGAAATATTATCAACAAGCCATTTAGGCCACCCATCAATAAGCTCATCACCTCCAATCTTCTTTGACACATGTCTTTGCGAAAATTTTCCATTAGCACAATCGTTCCTAACAATCTCCCCTTCCTTGGTAATCACCTGTTGGACACCTCCTTTAGCCCCATTAACCATACCAACATTTTTAACCTCCCCTTCATGTCTAACCAACATTCTATTACTATCCTCCCTTGGCAATTTCTGCACTTCATCCCCTCTCTGAGCATAAGTATGTACCTGTTTCAACTTCTGTAAACGCTGAGATGGCGAGTAGGTGGAAGTAGACTTGACCTGAACACACCCCATATCTCTGCTACAGCTGCTGACGGCCAGTAATTGCCTGATGAAAAGATGGAACAATATCGGAATGTGATTTGATGAGGGCAATGACCAACAAGGAATTAATGGGAAAAGAAAGGGAAATGCTTAGGGGACATTTTGGCGGCATTATTTGGAATTATGGTAAAAATAGAAGAAAGGGGGTTCAATTTTGTACTTCATTTTCAATGTCATCGGACTGTGTTAACTAGGGGTGTGTTAGTTTCTTTTTTTTAAAAATTTTTTTTCAAAATTTTGTTATTAAATGAATCAACTAACTTTGGCGGTCAGAAGAAACAGCCAGCTATTCTCGGACAAAATTTCACATTCTCTTTTATTTTTATAAATAAATAATGAAATTTCCAACAACATGATTCACCAATGTATGATAATCACGAGCATATCCTTGAGGCATGAAACCTTTTTTTAATTTCAGCAATACTAATACGTACATCAAAAAATTTGACATTAATGGATTGAAATTGAAGTACTTTAATTTTCACAGGATAAGAAATCCCAAAAAGAACCTGACTCAAAAGGAGGAATTGAATTACTTTGATTCAGTCATCAAAGAGGAGAAGATTTTCAACGGATAAAAATCTCAAGAAGAACCTGGCTCAAAAGGAAGAGGTTGGGATGGCGGCATTGCCATTACCAAGGATTCATCATTCACAAAATTTATTGGCAAAAAAAAAAAATCCACAAAATTATCATTACTAGGGTTAACCTCTAATAAATAGCTTATTTTATGAATCTCCTTCTTCCTTTTACATGGACGCAAGGCTTCATTTTTATCAGCCTTTGAGTTTCCACAACCCATTTTTTCCTTCACCAAGAATAAAATGAACCAATTCATGAAATTAACTCATTTTCCTACTGACAAAAGAGTATAAAAAACTAATTTTGAGCTAAAATTAAAGAAGTCATTCTAATAAAGAAAACCCATTTTTTTAGCAGAAACTTCATCGCAACCAAAAAAATAGAGGAGAACAGAGTTAGCTTTTCTCAAGCATTTTTACGCTTAAGTCAACCAGTCAACAGTCAGAACTTGGTCAACGCATCAAGGCCCCCAGGTTGCCAAAACAAGGCACGTCCAAACAGATATGTCACCTACCCTAAAAGAACTACTTGTCAACTACCCAAGGAAGTCACTTCGGAATTGATCGATAGGCCACCAACTTGCCTTATTTCGTTAAATGCTACTTTAATATCGTTAAATTCAGCCCACACCTAATTTGGATTATTAAATGTAATTCTTATCTATTTACGTGATATCTCTTTGTACTCCACACAGACGTCCTTTCAACTATCAATCATTTTAATCAAATTATTACTCCTTATCCCAGATAAAAAGTAAAGAAAAATTAAATACATAAGGTAACTGAGGTAAAACTAAGCCTAGGACTCTATTTCATTGGAAGACACATATTTCACCATCTTTCCATCCTCCTTACATTGTTCCCATAACATACCTCAGGCAATTTATTGATTTGAGCATCGAGATGTGCCTCAAAATGATAACTTTGACTCTCCTTAATCATGTTTTTTGGTTATAGGTTACAGCTGTCCCCTCCCCAACCTTATTTCCTTTCCTTAGTTAAGACATTAGAAAATACTATCAACAATTGATGCCATCTGTGGGAACGACAACCATGTCACAACAATCACATTCTTTTGAGACATTAGTTCCCACCATTAATGCTACCACTCGACGTGCAACTACTATTGAGGTAACATCTTTCTTATTGACCTCTCCATAAATTCTTTCATCGAAGTTACCTTATTGGGGCTCTTAATTTCCAATCATCAACTTTTATTAAATACTTGTGCTTTACAACCTTTAGGCCATTATCAAAGTTTAATGGGAGCTTTATCCTCGAACATGACATTGACACCATCGTTGGTCCACATGTAACACCTAGACCTTTGAACCATATTCCCCAACTACTCGTAACACAGATCCACTCCTTACAACCCATTAATGCTAGTGTGTGGCCAAACATTCCCCTTGTAACTTCCATTATGTCTGTTTCACTTCCATGTCCATAAATCCCAACACACCCACCAATCACTCAAACAGCATCAGACTTTTATGAAACCCTTATGGCTCGAATACAACTCTTAAACACCCAAATGGCCACCTAGCAAAAATTACTCCAACAATACCAACAAGCAACTCAACAACCTCTCAAGATTGACCCTACCCTAAAGAAAATTCAACATATTCTTTCAGAAAACCACCACCACTTCAAAACATAGCTTGACTTGAAGAAACTTATCCCAAATAGTCATGACGAGACCCACCATCATGATTGGGCATATACAAATGCTGACCTGGAAAACAAACTAGCTGCACAAGTCATAATCCTATGCAAAGAGTTAGCTGAGCCTAGAAAAGACAAAAATAAAGACCTTTAGTGGTTGGAAGATGACTACAACCCTTTTACCCCTACCATTAGATAAGTTGACATGCCACATTCTCTTAAACTACCAAAAGATACTTATAATGAAACCATCAACCTGGTGGACCATTTAAACCATTTTAGGATCTTTATGGACTTATATAATACATTTGATGTAGTAAAGTGTAGGGTTTTTCCTACCATTTTATGTGGGAGAGCCAAGACATGGTTCTATTATGTAGCTCTTACACCATAGATAGTTTTGATGCTTTAAATAGGCAGTTCTTTATGCATTTCTGATCGGTAAGGCTATTGTGTGCTTTTCTATGAGTTAATTGGCTATAAAGCAAAAGCCTGAAGAAACATTACAGTAGTATTTAAAGAAGTTTAACACTGTTACTATTGAAATCAAAGATTTGAATGGTAAGTGGGCCATTCAGGCCTTCACCTCAAAAGTGAGGCATGTTCATTTGAGATATTCATTAATGAGGTAAAATAGCTATATCAGTTATATGAAAGGGCCTAAAAGTTCATTGAGGCTAAAAAGATTAGGGTAATAAATAAGGTTGAACGACGTGAACAATGATAAGAATGTTTGTAATGAAAGAATAGATAGATTGAAACACCTAGCTAACGGTTTCATGATAATCGTTAGCCTATGGCCAATAAGGAAAAAGAGATTGCCATAATAGCAATAGCAACAGAAACTCTCAAACACAATTTAACTAGTACCTAAACCAGAATAGAACCCTAAATGCCATCACATAATGCCCAACTTAATGACTAACCCAAAGAAACAAATAAGTAAGACCCTCACCTGGATGACCAGATAACTAACCCCCATAAAAAATACACTGCACCTACCATGAAATTGGAGGGCATTCCACTAATGAGTGTGTAGTTCTTTAAAGGGAGATTGAAAGATTAGAGAACATGATTAATACCTAACCAAATCTTAATCTAGTAACTTTCTATCTCGACAAAGCCATGAACCAATCAACCACTAACAAAGTGATGGCTCTTCCCACCAAACAGAAGAAGCCCATCAAGAAAAAATAACAAACAATTGTCTAATCCAAGGCATCATCCACATCATTGTGGAAGCTATTGATGACTGGGCCAACAGCAAATCCAAGCACAAATTGCACTTACGTAGTGTGATGGCCATTGACGTTACATCTAAAAAATAAAGAATTGAATATTACAGATTACAGATGTAATTTTCAGAAAAGGATATTGACATTTTGGTGGATAGCGAAAATGATCCCATAGTGGTCACAGTGACGATAGCCAACTATCAAGTGTAATGTATATTAGTTAATAGTGGTAGTGCAGTGGATTTGATATAATACCAGGTGCTCAAATAAATAAAGCTTATGGATGAACACTTACAGCTATTTGGGCCTATCTTCAGATTTGCTAACCAACCCATTATAGTGAAAGGGTCCATCACCCTACTGGTTACGATGGGAAATAAGAGCACATGTTAACCACATTAGCAAATTTTTTTTATGGTCGACCAGCCTTTTGCTTACAATGTCATTTGTGGCAGACCATGGATGAAAAAAGCCAAAATGGTGATTGCCAACTATTGCTTAAAAGTTAAATTCCCTATGTCTTCTAAAATAAGGTATATGAAAATGAATCAAGTTACAACTTGCAAGTGTCACTTCCTGAGCCTCTAACTTACTCAGAAGGAAGATCAAACCAACAACTCACCCTTGTCTTTACCTCTAAAAGACTCCAATACACACTGCCTCTTATCAGTCTATGTAATAAACTTAGCTTTAACCTAGACATTGAGTATCAATAGCCTGGATGTATGAGATGAAACCAGGGAACACATTGTTGAGCAAACAGTACCTATCCAATTATATGTCCCAAATTTGACCTCACAACTCAAATGGATTCTGTGTTGGATATTAGGGCAAAAGGTATATTATGTAGATTTTTACAGGAAAACGCTGATGTCTTTTCATGTTCTTTGGTAAACATTGTTAGAATCGATAAGTGTGTTATCACCTACCACCTAAATATGGATCTAGCGATAAAATAAATCAATCAAAAGAAAAAAAAATTCATTCATGAGCGAATTCAAGCAATAAAAAAAGAGGTGGACAAATCGATCATAGCAAGATATATTAGAAAAATCAAATATCTCGACTGGCTCACTAATGTAGTCATGGTAAAGAAGGCAAATGGTAAGTAAAGAATATATGTAGACTTCAATCTTAATAAGACATGCCCAAAATATAATTTTCTCTTACTTTCAGTTGACAAATTAATAGACTCTTTTATGGGCCACAAATATTTAAGTTTTTTAGATGCTTTCTCAAGGTATAACTAGATCAAGTTGGCAAAGATAGACCAAGAGAAAACATCCATCATCACTAAGAATGGTTTATTTTGTGATACCCTTCGAGTTGAAGAATGAGGTAGCTACATATCAGAGATTGGTGAATAAAATCTTTAATGAAAAAATTAGATAGTCCTTAAAAGAATATGTAAATGATATGTTGGTTAAGAGCTTTTATCTAGAATAGCATGTTTGAGATTTAGTAGAAGCCTTTGCCATTCTAAAAAAAAATACAACACAAAGCTAAACCCTGCTAAATGAACATTTGGCATGGAAGTAGAAAAGTTTTTGGGCTTCATAGTTTCTAACAGAAACATAGAGGCAAACTCACCCTAAGAAAGTGACAACTATCTTAGCAATAAGCCTTTTGAAAACCACCATGAAGATGTAAAGGTTAACTGGGTGAGTGGTGGCCCTTAATAGATTTGTATCTAAATTGGCGAACAAGTGCTTGCCATTCTTCAAAATCTT